TTTATTGCAACAATTCCACTCACCTAATTCCAAGCAAAAATACTTTGTCTTTTTCGGGGCCACGATCAATTTTATCTTTATTATTATTAAATATTTGATAATTAAGAAAAAAATGTAAAAATAACATTTTTTTAAAATAATGATTTGTCAATTTTCCAGTGGTGATGAGGACGATATCTAGTTCTCACCGATAAAAATAAAGTATTTTTCAATACAAAACCGACCTTCTTACTCACTTTTTTATTTATTTATTTATTTTTGCTGATTTCTCAATTTGAATAGACTTGTTATATTGTTGGTTTAATCATTTATGTGAATGTTAAAATCTATTGATGGTGAATTTATACTGAGGTGAATTGTTAATAATTTTGGGTAATTTAATAGGAGAATTAGACTACTTATATAAGAAAAATAAAAAGTTGAAATTTCTACTAATTATTATGAGAGGGAATTTAAAACATTTCTCTTTTGAGCAGCATAATTCTTCCTYTAAATTAAGTGTTATGAAAAATAAATTTATATTTTCAATTCCGATTTTTATTATAAATAATTTCATTCTAATGGTAGGTAAGTACCTTAATTAGCAAACATAACTCAATTAGTAAAGATATATTTCCGTAATAAAAAGTGGGGGATTGATATTTTAAGTAATAAATTTTTAATAATCGTAAAGAACATTTGCATAAGCATTTTTTTATATTTTTTATTTTTACCTTCTGGAGAAAGGCATGAGCAATAGTTATTATTTTGGATTCTTTTGTGCATTTATACCTTTATGTGATAAATGACGACATTATTGTTAAAAATAGAAAATTAAAAGTAGCTGTACCGTGTGTGTGTTTATTTTTTTATTTTTTATTTCTATTTTGAAATAGTAGCTGTAATATGTTAATTATACTTTGTTTTATCTTCTGTTAATTATTCTACTCATTATTTAAATAAAAAAAAAAGACCTTATCTGTTATCTCCTACATTGCATACATAAAAAATTGTATTAGATTTAAACCATTAACAATCTTATTAAATACTTTGAAAACTTATATATATATATATATATATATATATATTTAGTTGCAATTGCATTCGCACGTGATGACTCTCAAATAATAGAGAAAGACCTTTTTTCCCCTCCTTACGGGACACGTGCATGATTCGTTTCATTTAATATAAATTTAGTGTTAAGTTCTCTGTGATAAACCAACTACCAATTTAATCTTGATTTTTTAAATTTGTATTTAATAAGTATCTGAATTTTTTAAAAAGAGATAATAGATTTTGAATTTGAAAAGTATAAAAAATGTTTCTAAACTTTCAATTTTACGTGTTAGAAGTTTTTTTGTTCTTTTTCTTTTTTCGATTAGACGTCTTAGAAAGTTCTTCAATTTTGTAAAATAAATTATTGATTTAATTGATATTTTTTTTAATTCACCAACTTATTAGGTAAAAGATTGAAAGTTTGAGATTTCTTAGACAACAAAAATTCAATTTTGTGTTTGATAAATCAATTATTTGAAAAAAAAAATGTGGACCATTATAGAAGTGGTCCTCCCTTCCAAATCTATTAATTTTGAAAAATATACATATTCAATGTATTCAGGAATTTATTAGACACAGAATTAAAATAAGAAATTAAAATTTGTAAAATCTCATATACAGAGATTTATTAAACCAGCACCGACAAATTCGAACACATGATTTGATGGGAGATATAGTTGAAGATGCCCAAATTTGAAATTTAGTCTATTAGATACATTTATAATTTAACATAAATTTAATATTTAATATATTTTTCAAAGAAAAAGGACCACCTTTAGGCTTTAATTGAATGGCTCCATTTGTTTTTATATCACTAAAGACCAGTCCTGAGTCTTCTCTGTTTCCTTCTTCCTCCATTTCTCACGGCAGCCTTTTCCAACTGCTGAATCTTTTTGCTATTTGAAGAAATTCAATTCAACAACATCAAAATAAATTTAAAAGGGAAAAAAAGAAAAAAACCCTACTGGTTTTGGTTGCGGCAAATCGAGAATCCATTTTAATCGGCCGCCATTCATGGCCGTAGTCATGTCCGGCAACCACCCGCCGCGCCGTCTCAACAACGCTCCCTCCTCCCCGGCCCTCTCTCTCACCCTCGTACTTCCCCCACCATAACTTTACAGTNTCTGGAGAAATGCACTTCTGATTTCTGAGGGCTTGCTTTTTCCTGTGGTTTGTTTTTCAGGCCGGCGTTTTCGGCAATGCGGCGGCGGAGGACCTGGAGGTGGACGCGCCGGCGAGGAGAGACGACAGCTGCAGCGACAACTCCGAGCCGGCGGGATCCAGGTCGGCGGAGGATTTGGGAGCCGACCAGGACGATGAAGATGAAGACAAACAGGGGAATAGAAAAAAGCGAAAGAATCGACACACTTCTGAACAAATTAGAGAAATGGAGATGTATGTTGATTCTTGTTTATACTGTTAATCGAATGTGACTCGCCTGATTGAACAGTTTGTACTTGAATTTACAAAAGAAAGAAGAACGAAGGAGAAGAAGAGGAAGAATAATGGTAGTTTTTGAAAAGGGATTTTCTGGTGCAGGTTGTTTAAAGAATCGCCACATCCAGATGAGAAGCAGAGGCTGCAACTGAGCGAGAAACTTGGCCTTTCTTCTAAGCAAATCAAGTTCTGGTTCCAGAATCGAAGAACTCAGATCAAGGTTTGTTTTCCCCCAAATTTTCACATCATTATCTTCCTTCCTTTATTTAATCTTCGGTCTCTGTTTTCTTGCAGGCTATTCACGAGCGCCATGAGAACGCGTTGTTGAAAGGAGAAATGGAGAAAATGCGAGACGAAAACCAGGCGATGAGGGAGATTATCAGCAAAGGTTCTTGCCCTAAATGTGGTTCTTCTTCGGCTAATTCCTCTGCCGTTTCGAGGGAAACGATTTTCACTACTATTTCCGAGCAACAACAGCTAAGAACAGAGATCACTCGACTCAAAGCCGAGGTTCTATAGTTATCGGTTTCGATTTCGATTTCTATTTCTCTCTCTCTCTCTCTTCCAAGTTCTTCAAATTGAACGAACCGCCATTGATTTACAGGTGGAGACATTGCGAGTAGCTCTTGCGAAGTACGCCCCGCCGGGGACATGTACGTCACGGTCGACGGAGAACGAGGAGGGGATATTGGAGAGGAGGAGAAGTTTGGAGCAATCGAAAACCATTTTCGGGCTGGAGAAGGCTAGGGTTATGGAGATAGCGAAGCGAGCGACGGATGAGCTCGTGAAAATGGCGGATTCCGGTGAGCCCCTTTGGGTACGAAGCGTTGAAACCGGACGCGAGCTACTAAATTACGACGTGTACATGAAAGAGTTCGCCGCCGACAACGAGCGGCCGAAGAGAGAAATCGAAGCGTCGAGGGAATCGGGCGTCGTCTTCGTCGATCTTCACCGATTGGTTCAGAGCTTCATGGATGTGGTAAACGAAGCCCTAATTTATCAGGTCGCGAATTGCGATTGAAATTTCCAATTATTGCGCCCCCAATCAAATTCACGTGTTCTTCTTCTTCCCCCCCTTTTTTTTCCGGCGAAGGTTCAATGGAAGGAAATGTTTCCATCCATAATCTCGAAGGCCACGACCATGGAGGTCGTCTCCAATGGCGACGGAGCCGCCAGAAATGGCGCAGTTCAACTGGTGAGTTAATTCCTTTTGTTTGTTTTTATTTTAAATATCCCTGGAGCATATATATATATATTTATTATTATTTTTCTGAGTACGTCCTAGGAACATATGTTTATTTAATAATACCCTCATAAATTATTTACTATCAAATTACAAGTTTTTATCTCAATATTTCGAATTCTAACCAGTCTCTGAATTTTATAGAGTGTTTTTTGAAACTTTTAATTTTTGTATTCGCTAGATTTTTAGACTTTTAAAAATATTAAATAGAAAGGAAAAAAAATTTAGAAGTTGACTTATTAAATAAGAAATGGGCGAAAATGATTAAAGGTAGGTAATGTAATTAAAATATTTGGACACAACTTTACTAGTATAGGACCCAGTGCTATATTTTAGCAATTATTTATTTAATATGTTCAAAATTCAATTTATTTATGTAATTTAATTTAATTATTATTATTTTTTTAATCTTCAGCAAACTGGTTTTCTGACACTGGCCTTGTTTTTGTTGTAAAGAGTTCGACATTCAAATATTTTTTAAAAGTTAGTCAAATGTGGCTAAAAGTATATTTGTTTTTTTTAATATATTTATTGTTTTTGATGGACAGACCAATTTATCTTAAAATAATAAAAGGGTAGTTATTGTTATTTTCTTTAATATTATATATATCACGAGGTTATTGTTTACCAATGCCGTCAACATGTGTTAATTGTCCATTTATAGATTCTTTCGAAAAAAAAATTGTCAATTTATAGAGTTTTTTTTATTTTTAGTTCAACTTTTGAGATTTTTTGTCAAAGTAACTTTCACCTAAAAAATATATGTATAAAAAATTATCTTGAAACTTAACCTGACTTAATTGATTAGTTTATATTTTCGACCAAAATATGGTTCGAAATTCAACCCCACATATTGTTAAATTAAAAAATAATAATATCTATATTAGTAGTTCTATGAACCATAGCTATTTTTTAAATGGATAAAAACATAGAAAATATATCCCTCTCTTTGAGGTAAATTTTGTTCCAATAATTACTTTTAAGTGATATATTTTTGCATCGTTTTCCCTCAAGATTATATATATATGTATGTATATGTATGTATGTATGTATGTATATATATATATATATATATATTTGCGTTGTTTTTCCTATATATATATATTTTTTTTCTTTTGATTTTAGTACAATAAATATAAAGATGGTGAATTAAACCTTTATAAGATGATTTTAACTATTAAGCTAAGTTCGTGTTGGCTGGCTAATGTATTATATATAAAATATCATAAGTTTTGAAATTATTTAATATTTTATTTTCGAAAATAAAATTTTCAATTATGTTATTTTCATTAATCAATTTATTGATAAAACTTATGTGATATCATACCCAGTGAGTAGGTAAAAAAATTTAGATTAAGAGAGGAAGGTTTCTAATCTATCCTCAAAATTTGTGTGAACCACTCATATCATCGTTGATTACCTCTAATGTGCACGAACAAAAATATATTTGAACAATTAGAAAAATGTCTGAACATTAGAGATTAAAGCACATATTTTTTAGCGTATTTGTTTGGTGGTAGAAGGTGATTGTTGTGGCAGGGGTGCAGATGTTTGCAGAGCTCCAAATGCTGACTCCCGCCCTTCCCTCAAGAGAAGTGTATTTCATCCGAAGCTGCACGCAAGTTAGCCCAGACAAGTGGGTGGTGGCAGATGTCTCTGTGGATAAAGTTGGAGACGGCATCGACTCATCCTCCTCCGTCTCTAGGAAACGCCCCTCTGGTTGCATCATTCAGGACACCTCCGATGGCCATTGTAAGGTACACAACTCTCATCTTGCTTGACGAAAACTTTGAATTTGATTCTTATGATTTTACAAGTTCCAATTTAGTTTCTACAGGTTCCAATTTAGTTTCTATCGTTTCAAAAATTTTAATTTAATTTCAATAGTTTAGTCCAACTTCACATTGTCCATAGTATTATCATATTGATAATTTGGATAATTATTTTTTTTAGTATACCAAATTGAGATATGAGATTTGAACTTCAAACTCAAAAAAAGGAGTAGGTGCTAATTACCATCGAGCTGTGTTAATGTTGGTATTTGGATAATCGTATTAGTTGAGTGCAGCAGGGTTTAAGATTTAGGAATGAGTAAAAAATACAATTTAGGACGTTATGTGAGATTTAACCAAACCATAGAGACTAAATTGAAATTTTTAAAACATAGGGACAAAATTTGAAGCTAAGGCTGAAACGTAAAACTAAATTAAAACTTTTAAAACTATAGGAATCAAATTAAAATTATAGATTTCACGGTGTAAAAAATGATACTCCCCTCCTCAACAAACTTCTATTTTAACCTTTCCTCTCCTTACGTTACACTCCTTACACCTCATTCTTTCTGACTAACAATATTCCTAGGACCACACGAACCCCCCTTACTTGCTGCTTATATGGCTCCCCGTTGTTTCACACGCTTATGTTTCTAGTATGGAGTGATTTGGGGTCCATCAAAAATTAGAAGGTAAAATTTTGTCACTGACAGTAGCTTTGCTTATAACTTGATTGGTTCAGATAACATGGGTGGAGCACTGGGAATGCCAGAAAATGGGACTCCGCACAATATATCGAACCATTATCAACAGCGGTTTGATATTCGGGGCAAAGCATTGGATGGCGTCACTGCAAACCCATTGTGAATGGCAGGTGTTCTTCATGGCCACCAACGTTCCCATGAAGGATTCTACTGGTAAAACACCTCTGCCATTGATAACTTAACTTCAATGTTCCTTCAAAGTTCATCAGAACTCAGTCTCTGAAAATGAATACTTGTAGGAATCACCACTCTTGGTGGGAGGAAAAGTGTTCTTCGGCTGGCTCAAAGAATGACGTCTAGTTTTTATCAAGCCTTTGGTGCATCCATCAGCCATTCATGGCCCAAGGTCCCCACCAAAACAGGGGAGAACATACGAGTTGCTTCCAGGAAAAACTTGAACGATCCACGAGAACCTCTGGGTTTGATCTTGTGTGCAGTTGCTTCTGTCTGGCTTCCTGTCTCTCCAAAAGTTTTGTTTGAATTCTTGATTGACGAAGCTCGCCGACTCGAGGTACGCCGATCTTCTCTTCGTTCTTGCACAAAAAGATTCATGATAAGCGAGATGTGTCTATTTAATTTTGTACCTTAAAAAGTTTCTAGTAGCTCTTTAAACTTTCACGGGAAACATCCCTAGTTGCTATATTTTAAAATGTTCCTGTAAGTATTTGAACTTTCAATTTTGTGTTCCATAGATCTCAATCGTTAACTTAGTCAGCTTACGGCTTATGTGACATGTAGGCTGTATTATTACATGGTAGGTTAGTTTTGGGTAGGTTTTCGACCATTTGGTGGTGTAAGTGTTACACAGATATAAAGATCCTATTAGACACAAAATTGTAAGTTTAAAATCCATTAGAATTTTTTTAAAGTTTAGATGCCATATAAACACAATTTTGAGTTTATGGACAATATATTAGAAACTTTGTAAATGCAGAAGACTAAATAAACACAAACTCTGAAAGTTTAGAAACTAACAAACACCGAAATTTGAATTGTGATACTTTCAGTGGGATGTTATGTCGGGTGGCGGTTCAGCCGAAACAATCACGAACTTTGCCAAAGGACAGAACCGTGGCAATGCCGTCACAATCCAAGTTAGTTTCTTTTCTTTTCTCGACAACATAATGTAGAGACAGTAACTCAACTGTGCTGTAAACATTGGTCTTGCAGGCAATAAAATCAGATGAAACCAACGTGTGGGTTCTTCAAGATAGTCTAACAAACGAATATGAGTCGATGGTGGTGTATGCTCAGGTCGACATTACGAGCATGAAGTCGGTGATGGCGGGGTGTGACCCGGGCAACATCACGACTTTACCGACAGGCTTCTCGATCCTTCCGGACGGGCATCAGTCGAGGCCAATGGTTATCAGTTCAAGCAAAGAGGAAAAGGGGGCAGAAGGAGGATCATTACTCACAATGGCATCCCAAATCCTAGCCAGCGCTTCTCAAACCGCCGAAATGACGGCACAATCTGTTGAGTATGTTAACAATGTTATATCACATACCTTAAAAAATATTAAAGCAAGCCTTCAAGGTGAGGATGATTGATTATCAACATTTCTTATTCATAAAAATTCAATTAAACTCTTTTTCTTTTTTTCTTTCTAACCTTGTAGTGATTTAGAGGATAGCTCTTTAGCCTCGACATGTAATAATAATAATATATAGACATTAGACGGGTGGCGGAGGAAAGACGATTGAACAAAGACTAAAAGTATATTTTTTGTATCTATAAATGCAAATTTGAAATACGTTTTATTAATTTTTGTCTCATATCATCTGATAGTAATTTACAAATCATAACGCGATGACCTCATAAAAATTATTAGCCATCTTTTAGATATTTTAGAGAGATAAGTGAAAGTCTATGTCGGATGATCAGAGTGATTTTACATGGAGAAAAGAACTAGATCCATTGATCATATGCTCAAACGACCAGCAATTAAGCAATTAAGTGTAAAAACTACATCCATTGATCTATGTCGGATGGTCGTTTCTTTCCCAATTTGGAAGGTTGGAAAGAAACGACCGGGAAGGGGCGACCCCAAAGGAACCTGTGGTCGGAAGTCCTTTGATCATATGCTCAAACAACCAGTAATTAGGTGTAACTACCCCAACTGCCCAAATCCCTAATTGCTTATCAGATGACAATAGCGTTCCGAAAATTGACTTGATTGTCGAAATGTCGAAATGTCTACTCCCCTTGTGCACGGTCCCCGTTCAACTACCAACCCTATGACCACTTATCATTTAATTGAAGAAACAGTCTACTTAATCAATCAAATGCAATTCATCGAGAATTTTCAAAATTTTAAGTGTTTTTTATGAAATATCTTTTTTTTTCATAAACATTTTTAAGGATTCACTGTTAATTGTGTTTCACACCCATTTTTAATTAGTAACAAGCTTTTTTTTTTGGGTATTGAAAATCAATCAATTTATAAATTTTGAACATATATGGTGATATATCAGATAGCTACATAAAGTAGTGGGCATATCGATACGAACTACATCGGAGAACACGATCTAAAGATAATTACTTAAGATGATAAGGCTCTGGTTCTCTCTCTTTCTCTTTCTGTACTAAACACAGAAATTAGAGAATTTGAACCGCATCAACACTCATTTCTTCCGAATCCAGAGGCATCAGATTGCAAAGATGAGAAAACTTTAAGACGGATTCTAAAATCTCATCGAATTACATCCAAATAATCACTAGAGAAAAGAGATGGAACAATTATCTCGAATCACCAAGAGCAGATCAACAAACGCACCCGATTTCGGTTACGATTACGATGAAAGCTGTTGCTGCTGAGACTCCAATGGAATCCCGAGCTCCCCAGGCGCGGCTTCCCCTGCTTTGGGCTTGGAATTTCTCGGCGGAACCGGAATGGCCAGAAACGTCTTGGTCTTG